AGAAAAATCAACTGGACTAGGATTTTAGGTCGAAGACGTTTCACCTCTTATCCAAGAGGCTTCATCAGTTCTGCCTGACATTTATCCCCATCGGTGGTGTTTCAATCCTTTGATGCCCAACAATGTCCCCTAACGACTTCGTTATTATAGCCCAGTATTGGTGAGCGTCGATACCTGTCTTTGAAACCTCACCTGTGGAGCGACGCCTATTGTCCTGGTGGGCATGTTTGGGTAGAGATCTCAAAACAGGATCGTAGATGGATGACAAGTTGTGTCTTAGTCCACCACCCCTATTTAGTGAGGGGGGTGTTCTTTTTGGACAAAAATAGCTTCCTTGACTCCTCTCTCGAGCCAGCAATGTTCTCTGGAGAGGATCTGGACTTCACTGTCACTTTGGGGTGGCTGTGGCTCAGGAGGTAGAGTGGGTTGTTTACTAACTGGAGGATTAACGGTTCGATTCCCGGCTTATTGAAGTGTCCTTGAACAAGATACTGAACCCCCAGTTGCTCCCGGTGATGTCACTGGCTTGGGAGTGCGAATGGGTGAATGGCTGAATAATGTGAAAGTGTTTTGAATGTGCTGTAAAAGTGTAGAAAGGTGCTATACAAGTATAAGACCATTTACTGTCCTCAAAAGAATGTCCTTTGTCGTGGAGGTGGACTGCTGACTCTGGTCCACTGGAGTTGGGCCATGCGTTTGTGCAGCAGCATGGGTAGAAATGCCTATTTGGAAAACTGTAGGATAGACTTGTGTAAAACTACAATCAAGGACATTTCATAAAAATTAATTTGTGTTGGCCATCATGTTTTTCTGTGTGGTCAAATCTTTGTTTTTAACACACAGTCCCCTCAGAATATAGGCCAGGTTTTTGGCTCCCAAATTTGAGGAAAACACTACTTTCTCAGACCAGACAAGGACATACTTGTCTTTTTTTATATATATATATAACTTTGCACATTAACTCCAGTGGTGTCCCTCTGAACTCCTTGGTAAATGTATTTTGTAGCAGAATGCATAAGAGTATTTATTGGATCTAGCTGACAATGCTATAACTTGAATGTAGCTGAGGTGCTGTCACTTGACTAGCCCCGCCGGTAATTCATTTTGGTCGATTGTTCCCTCTTCAGCTTGGCTCAACAGAGTCAGCAAGAAGCAATAAACAACTTGGGAAAGATACTGCTAAGTTTCACAGAAGTAAACACCAATGTGCTGATATGAATGTGTCTGTGTGTGTGTGTGTGTTTTTATTATACTGTGTGGACAAATTTTTGCTCAGTGCCATCACTGTGAGGACTTTTTAGCTGATCCTCAACTTCAAAGGGCATTTTGAGGATTAAGACTTGGTTTGAGGGTTAATATTAGGTTTCGGGTCAGGCACTTAATTGTGCTGGTGAAGGTTACAGGCTGGGGAATGCATTATGTTATTGAGTGTCCTCACAACTGTAGAAAGAAATGACTATGGGAGTGTGTATGCATTTGTGTCATCATACTAAACATCATACTGGGGACAAAAATCTCTGCACATAGTTGCATCATGGCAAATCACCTCCCATCGGGATAAAAAGCTAACCCCCATGAGGTAAACCGATAAATGTTGACACTTTGCTTTGGTTAAAGATAGAATTATGCTTCAATTGGGGTTTACAGTGAAGACCGGGGTTAGGCATATGCTCCTATAGTTACATTAAGTATAAAACCTCCATGGAATAAGTGTAAGTTAATAAATGAATAGCCCTACATAATGAGGGTTGTTTAAAAATTACAGGATATCTAAGTAAACCCCAATAAAATGATTAGCATGAGACTTTTGAAGATATCAAACTGACTGCTTTGTTTGTTTGACATTAGGCACAAAACTATACCAAATTGCCTCTGTGGGAACAAATGATGCCTTAATGTGCTCTGAATTGATGAAATACATTTTAGCCTCACAGCAACAAGCATAGACGTGAAGGGAAAAAGGACGGAAACATCAGATCAATTAAACTATTGCGGGCTCAGTGAGAATCCACACCATGCTGGTGTTTGATCATGAGAAGCTCTGAGCGTCAGTACCCCCTCCACCCTGTGCAACCATTCAGCGACAGGTTTCTTTTGTTTTCCACTACAAACACTTTCATCACGCTTACACGCCAAACTGTCCCAGGCAAGCCCGGCTTACAAGTTGAAAGTGTTTTCAGAAGAGGAAAAAAGATTTTCATACCAGATCAATGTACAGTAAGTGAGGTTCATCTGATTTGTTTTTTATTTTTTATATTGACTTCCCAATATTAATTCTTTTTCATTTTTCTTTTTAAATACAGTGTTAAATGGTAAAACAGTCACACAAGGAAAAAATAGGCTTTGTCATTCACTTGTGTTTTTATGCACGTTTCCACTCACTCAAAGTCAAATGTGGTGTGTCTGTGCCTGTAGACCTGTAGTTGTTTCTTATCGACCCAAGCCACTTAACCACTTGATCAAAATCACCTGCATTCTCAGATAACATGACAGGCTATTAGGACAACGTGGCTAACCAGGCGTGTGATATTGCCCACAGTAGTCTTTAAAAGGCAGTGTAAACAGCACTGGGACTAGGTCACTGCTATGTGACACGTGCACAGAGCCTCTGCTGCTTGTGTGCGTTCTTGTGTATAATGTAAAGTGCTCCTTAAAATAGATCATATTCTAGTTCTAAAACCGTAGAAAATGTCTGGTGTTTACTATAAAAACAAGTTAGCATTTGCCGCCAGGGTGTTTTAGGCTGCAACAGATTCTAATGGGGCACACAATATTGTGTCAAACCCCTGTGATTACATTGCCATTTAAAGTGTTTAATGACACATGGCATTTCAGCTGTAGCGCAGATGCCTCAGCTACTCCTCTCTTCAACTTTATTGAATTGTTTAGAGAAAACATTTCAAACATTGGAAAGGAATGTTTGCAAAGTCTAAAAATATCAGTCTATCGAGGATGGTTACCATCTATTCTGCACAATTTGTGGAAGTTTCCTCGTATGTTAATAGGATAGAGTAGAAGCATACAGTAGCTGGCACAGACCAAGGAATGCCAATCCTGTCTCCTAGAAATTCTGTTCATATAATTCTAAAGTAGACATAAACATCAAGCTTTGGGAGATAGCCACTTTAATACAATTTCAAGGAGTAATTATAGATAACTGGAACTGGATATTGCATTTTAGAATGATTTCATTTAAAAGCAGAGGGTAATAAAACATAAGGTAAAAAACACCAAAGACTTACACATGCTTAATTTCAGCACTATATTATGCTTATTTGAATTAAATATGCGTATATTATTTACCCTTATATACTGCAAGGTACTGCAAAATACCATGGGGAAGCACTCACCTTATATACAGTATGTAACTGCTAAAGATTTATCAACTTTTCAAATTAACAAACTTAAGGGTGTTCAGTTTATGATTATTTCAGTGTTAGTATTAAAGAGTGAAAACTGTTGTCATGAGGACAAGTTAGAGGTAATGTTTGACAAATTCAACAGCCTCCCCACTCTAGCTGTGATATCACCAGCATAGCCGCTGAATGTTTCTCTTCACAGAGATGTATGGTGTACAATGTACAGTGTTTCACATTTTCAACAATTTTAACAAAGATTCATACACAGAATCTATTGAAAAGGGTGAAAGAAATGTAAAAGTTTAATCTACAGTAGGTCAACCTCATCATCGGTGAACCTTGGGGATCTACGACCCTGTTGTAGATTCTCTGTTTGTCCTTCCTTAGGCCACTGTTGGTAGGTACTATCCACTGCAGACTGGGAACACCCAACAAAACCTGCAGTCTGGGTGATGCTCTGACCCAGTTGTCTAGTTTGGTCCTTGTCAAAGTCACTCAGATCTTTACACTTGCCTGTTTTTTTCTGCTTCAAACACATCAGCTTCAATGACTGAATTTTCATTTGCTGACTAATATACCCCACACACTCACAGGTGCCAACGTACCAAGATAATCAGTGTTATAATAATCAATGTTATTCACTTCACCTGATCTGTGTATTTGCGACTATGTAATTTAGTAATTTCTTCATAATAGTAATTGAGAACATAATGCAGTCACAACAGTTTTTTTCTCAAAATATATTTGCTGATGCAAGCTAGTTGTATATTGATGGAATTTCTAGGATATTGGGTTTAGAAATGGGTGTTTGTGCCCTTAAAGGTCTTGGAATTATGTTTGTGCTTGAATTTCAGTGAGCCAACCATCTACCCAGTTCAAATGACCTCAATTCCAGCCAGTTGACTGAGATTGTAAATAATGATCTACTGAATTAAGATACCTGAATCCTGGAGCTTCATCTTGCTGACAGATTCTGTAGCCTGTAATCTGAACACACAGTCAGTTGCAGGGAAACTGGGTTTCTTGAGATAGCTTTTTTGTAATTCCATCATTGGGACAAAGTTTGTGTGATTAGACTTCAGTTAGACTGTAATTAACATAGTTAAATAGCTGCACCAATCTCCAGGGACCCCTGCATCTTATGCTCAAGGTACTGTAAGAGGGGGGTGGTGTTGGCAAGGGTGGTGGTGGGGTGTTCTTGGAGATGTAAAGCAACTAATTAAATGAAGACTACGCTACTGAACGATCTCCTGGGCAAATACAGTTTCTTCTATTCTTCCTCTCTCCTCTCCTTACATCCTCTAACACCCTCGCCTCCTTGCACATGAGATGATGACAGTTAATGATGCATTTTTTAAAACCACCTTAGCTCCCGCCCTATGGCTCACTCTCACTCTTCCTTGGTAGGCCCAGGTCATTATTATTGTTATTATTATGCTTCTTTCATATTTTTTTCATCCTGAGTCCACATCATTTCTCTCCATGTTTTGTTAACAAGTTGCTTCGCTCTCTTTCTGTCTTTCTTGTTTCTACCTCCCCACCTGCCTCCTAACCCTCCCATTATAAACCAAACTAGGGAATTTGCTCATTTAAACTAGAAAAAACAATGAAGCTCACTCCCGGGTCTGCATTATTTTTCAGAAGTCAGAGAGAAGCCACAGCCCTCGACAGACACTAATGCTGGATGGCATAGTAAAGACAACCTGAACGACCTGGGAGCCATCATTCGCACAGAGTGTCAGCAAGGTCACTGGGCTAAGGGACGGTGAGTCTGCTATTTGCATATACCGAAGGCTATGGGGTAATAAGGTCTGCTTCGCATCTGCATTTTATTAATTAAAAAAATGTTAAGAGAACTATTAGTAAACTGACCAGCAGGCCATTTCACAGGCTTAGCAATTATTTACTTTTATTCATGTGTTGCCAGATAAGATAATTCTGCACACCACACTTTTTTGTAGATTAAAAAGAGAAACTCTTTAATTTTATTGTCAAGTTGTTTGATTAATGCTGATAACAATAAAAAAAAAAACCTTCATTCTACTTCAGCATAGGGCATAAACTTTACAGGTTAGGGTTGAGAAAGCCAGGCCTAAAAAAAAAAGCTTCCTCTGTAAAGCACAGAAGAGGGGGTATGAGCACCTTAGGCAAGACTGAGGGGCATATGAACACAGCACAGAACAGGATAAACACACTGATGCGATCTATTACATTCTCAACATACAGTATTTGTATATGCACAACACAACAGCTGCATTACATTTGGGGTAATCGGCACAATACTTATTACCATAGTAAAATAAGTCAATTAGATAAAGCTGAATCAATTAAAAAGAGTGAGAAGTAGTGCTTCCATTCTGTCTGATTCGCTCAATGTTCTGCCCTCATTTGTATTTCACTATTGTACACACTATGTATTTCCAATGCGCCGGATACGTCACATCCAAAAACTGCTGAGTCAGTCAGTTTGGAGCCCTCACAGGCCACTCTTTGTCTTAAGATGTCTATTCCTGTGTCAGGTATTTGGATATTGGGGTTAATATTTAACTAAAGGCTCCAATCTTTGAGATTATGTGGGTTTGATTTTGTTTACACCATCTGCCATCAGATGTAATTGAATGTACAGTATGTT